GGTGTGTGCGGAACATTACAATTAGTCTTTTCTGGTATTCCTTCTTTTAAACAGCATCCCTTGCTCTAGAACATATCTTTGTAGAACTGAACTGTCCCTTGAGAGAGAAAGAAGAATGAGATGGATTGTGTGGGTGTCATGGCCCATAAGCCTGTGGCAGGGAGAGACCACTGGGAGTCCAGGCCCAGCTCTGTTGCCACCTGCCCCGAGGGGCTCGCAAAGGACCCATTTCTCACACGTCTCTGCTGTTTTCCCCTCCATGCTCAGGAGGGACACACACTGCCTTTTTAACCGCCCACCCCACTTGTGCCTTCTCATATCAGAGTGGGGAGCCAGGAAGGCTTTGGCAGAGCTGTCTCTTGGTTCATGCTGCTGAATTAGCAGCTCAGGTGCACAAAAACAGAAGAACTTTTTCAGAATGGTTGTTTCTGTTCAGATGGAGGCAGAGAGGATTAAAGTATGGCTCCTCAAACTAAGGCCTGCAGGCCAGATCCAGCCTGCCATGTTCATTTAACAGGCCCGCCCCACAGGTTTGGCACACGAGAATGCACGGCTTGCTCACGAGGAGATCATTTTGGACCCACTCGGAGAAAATGATCTCCTCTTGAGCAAGCCAGCGCCTCGCCATGTGTGCGCCCAGCGGCGGCTTGCTCCGCAGCCCCCCTCCCACCCTCGTGTGCCCTGCCCCCTCACCAGCCCACGCCCCCTCCCGCACCGCCTTGGCGGCCGTGTCCACTGCTGGCACCTGTCAACTGGCCCCCTTTAGAAAAAGTTTGAGGACCCCTGGATTAAAGGGTCTGTCTCAGCACTGTCTGGGGCCCAGTGAATCAGGGGCCTGCCTAGAGGAGTTTAGAAACTGGGCAGATGATGAGGCCATTTGCAGGCAGTGAAGTGGAGGCTGCTGCGGGTGTCTCTGGGCAGAGGGCTTCTAGCGCTACTCCTGAGATGGCCCTGTGCAGCTCCGAGGGAGGCCAGGTGGGTGGCTACTAGGAAGAGGGCCTTTTCTGTTACTGCACCCAAGCTATGGAAATGAATTTCTCTCATGTGGCACCTACATTGTACTCTTTCCAGCACCAGGTGAAGACCTAGTTTTCCCAAGAATTCTAGCCTCAGGCTGTTTAAATTTGGAATTATATTGTAAATTTTTGTCCTGATGCTAGGTTTTATTTCAATTGTCACTGACATTTTTTACTGTAGTTCAACTACTTAAATTCTTATTTTATACTGAATGTCAATTTGAAATTGTCTTTAAATTGTTGTGAACTGCTCAGAGAACTTTGGTTATTTGGTAGTATAAAAATATAATATATATATGAAATATTCCATAATTTTCTCTTTAACAATTGTTTTTGACAGGGGAAAAAAGTGGATTAGACAAATTTAGGGAGCAGAAGGTGATTAGTGTCTACTAGTCCAGAGGGCTACCTGCCACCCCCAGGATCAGAGGCTGTCTGTCCACATACACAAGTTGCTGAGGAACATGGGTAGGAGGGTGCTGCGGTTACACTCATCTGCTTTTGCATTTCCATGGGCAGCAGGTTCCTCTTCGAGTGGAAGAAGTAGGGTTGCGTAAAATGGCCAGATGTCCTCAGACACGGCCAGCATCAAAAGATAGAGCTAGTGAGAAAACATAAGGGTTACAAATGGAAGACATCATCATCTGGGTCTCCTGTAAAGGTCCATGAACAAGGCAGACAATTGTACAATAGAGTTTCAAGAAGTTCCCGGTGGGGAGAGGAAAAAAGAGAGGAAGGAAGGAAGGACAGCATATGACACATTTCAGAGTTAGAACCTGACAAAACTGCTACCTTGATTAATCTTAGGTTTTCTCAGATATAATTACACTTGTACCAAGTATTTGTTTTATGGTTCACCTTCCTATTTCTGGGCTTGATGATGCAGAAAATAATGTCTCACAACCAAGGATCTGATTGCAGGAGAGTGCATCACTTAACTCTTTTGTATCCGCCTTCAGAAAGGCCACCTAACCCATTTTCCCTCTTCCATTATCCATCAACACTTAGAGCGGTACTCATTTGAGACAGCTAGCTCAAGGACAGCCTGTGAAACCATCCCAGTTAGGTTGCTACAGGGCATGGATCATTGCCAGTAGCAGTGTTGCTGCTGTGCAACTCTGATAGTTTGATGGGCGCAGTGAAAAGAAAAGCTCCTTGCCAAAGGGATAGATGCTGGGTGGGAAAATGGGGCATTGTTGGGATTCTTTACTATGGTATCAACGGTGTGTATGATGCAGATTCCCCTCCCCCCCTTGGCCAGTAATGAAATAATAAATCAGATTTGTGGCATTTGTAAGATGAAATGTTTTCTTGAAAATGAAATCACCCTCCTGGGTCTGTTGTTATATAACCAAGGGCTGAGAGTGCTTTCTTCGCTCAAGATGCAATTGTTAACAGGCTATTTGTGGGCCAGCACCACAAAAACCACCACTGTTGATTATTGCAGTCTTTAATTCCAACTGCCTAGTTTGGCTGGAGATGTTGGAGGAGACAGGGAAGAGATGAAGGCAAAGCCAAGAGGGAGAAATATTTGGAAGGGGGTTGGAGAGGGCTGTTGATGTGCAGTCTTGTGGTTGGAATTGAAACAGGGGATGCCAAGACGTGATCTGGAAGCGATTCCTTGCTATGCCAGAAACTTCATGTGTGGGCCTATGTGGGACACAGAAACCTTCTCACACAGACCAAGCCCTGATGTGGTGAACAGAGTAGATCATCTGTGTGGAATGCCAGCATGTACAAAGCCACTATGTGGCATAGTAAATTGCTCTGGTTATTTCATACCAGGTTTTTTCAGGAAACATCAGACAAGCTCTTTATTGCTGATCTTCCTATGACACTAATTGGGAGAAGGTTTAGGACAGATAAAAGGAAGCACTTCTTTATACAGCATATAGTTAAAGTATAGAATTCGCTGCCATGAGCAGTGATGATGGCCACCAATCTGGATGGCTTTAAAGGGGATTGGGCAGATTCATGAGGGAGGAGGCTATCAGTGCCTACTAACCTTGCTGGCCATGTGCGGCCTCCTCCATCAAAGGTGGCATGCTTGCATACACCAGTTGATGAGGAGCTTGGGCAGCCAGAGGTCTTGCACTCATCTTGCTTGAGGGATCCTGTGAGCAGTGGGTTGCCACCGTGTTTATGGAATGCTGGACTGGATGGACCTTTGTTATGATTAGAAAAGTATGCTTTTTCTGTGTTTTCTACATTGCTATCTTATGTGATTGTTCCTCAGGAGGAACATGTGCATTTCTTGCTCTACATAGGGTTACAACTAAGCAGTGCTTTTTTTGTAAAAAAAAAAAAAAAAAAGGTGCTGCAACTCACGTCTCCTGCAGTAAGCGCGCGACCACACACAGCGGAGTGTCCGTCCCAAGCCGAGAGCAGCGCCCTCACTATCTCACTATCAGATAGCAGACACAAAAGCAGCCTCCAATGAGGTTCGTTGCTGATCTGCTATGATTCAAAATCACGTCGTAAAATCCATTGGAAAAAAAGGTGCCAGAACGCCATTCTGGTGCGTTCGATGACAAAAAAAGCCCTGCAACTAAGTAATATTTTAAGGCTTGTAGATGTGATAGGTATGCCAAAATCTAGTGTGTTGTAGTGGTTACTTTTGGACTAGGATTGGGGAAATACTGGTTTGAATCCACTCCTGGGCTAGGAAGGCTCATTGAGTGAATTTGGAGCATTCACTTCCTGTTAGCTTACCTCATGGATTGTTGTGAGAATAAAATTAAGAGGTATATATGTCACTTTCAGCTTCTTGGAGGAAGGGTGGAATAAATAATAAATGAAATCTTCCTTAAAAATTAAGGGCATCTCTTTATTTTCTGTCGATAAGAATTGTTGCAGGGTTTTTAAAGGTATTAATATGGTGGTGTGGTGTGTTGTGGTGTGGTGTTTAAAGTCTTGCACTGGGATTCCGGAGATCTGGGTTCTAACCCCCACTTTGCCATGAAGTTCCCTGGGTGACTCTGGGGCAGTCACTGACTCTCATACTTCATAGGGTTATTGTGAGAATGAAATGGAGGGTGGAAGGATCTTGTGAGCAGTCTTGGGTTCCTTGCAAGAAGAAAAAAGAGAGGTCATACCTGTAACATAATCATGATTTTTATATCTTAACCCTGAATGTATGCAAAAACAGGTGTTTAGGCCTTGCTGAAGCTAACAGTTCTTTTTTAGACATCCTTCCTTTTGCCTACACCCATCTGAAATTTTGTCCTTGAATGACAAGAGATCAGGTGGACTGTTCTCTGTTACACAATCAGAAGCTTCTTTGTGAAACTAAATGGCAGTTGAGCACTGAAGCATATAGGTTGCTAATACGCAAGCTTTGTTAAATCAAAAGGAGTCATCTGACTCAAAGAAGTTGGTAGGCACTGAGGTTGGGGAAGGGGGTACAAGACCAAGGGCACACTGGGCCTAATTTTGCCTAGGACATCAACATACAAAGGTGGTCCAATTTCTTTACCTGAATATTTCTGTTTTGGAAAGCAGGAATTCTCTTTCCAATATTGCAAGTGTGGCATTGTTATGTTTCAAGCTAATAAAATCATTGAGGTGCTGTTAGGGCAACTGTGGAAGACAGCCACAAGAAAGCTTGTAAAAGAGTTAATGGGGGGAGGAAATGCTGGCATGCCTATTATTTCCAAATAATCTGATGTCTGTGTTGCCTACTCGAAAATAAAACATCTGAAATTGTGTAGGTGGGCCCATTTATAGCTGTACTTTTTCTGGACTAAGATGTGGAATGTGCCCATGTGTTGTCGGGGGGGGGGGATTATTGTGTGCAGTAACCATCTTCATGTCCAGAGACTTAAAGTGGCTATAAAATAAAAAAAGTATGTAACACATTAAAAAATATAACCCTCAGACCCAGGCCTCCATTCGTGCAACTCCAGAGGAATAAACTGTAATGTATTTGAAGTTCATAACCAGTGTCAGCTGCTTTTCATTTTAGGCTTTCTTGTTTGTTTGTAGCTCAATCATGTGGGGGCCGTTTGAATTCCAAAGATGCTGGTTACATCACTTCACCTGGCTACCCGCAGGACTACCCCTCCCATCAGAACTGTGAATGGATCATTTATGCCCCGGAACCCAACCAGAAGATTATCCTCAACTTCAACCCTCATTTTGAAATTGAGAAACATGATTGCAAGTAAGACATCCCCCCCTAATAACTCCCCTCCCCCCATTCCTGGTTCTGGCTTAAAAAATCTGTCTGCTCCTCCTGGTTCTTGGTCTTGAACTGTCTTTAATCTCACTCTGTGATGTGTATATCTATAAGAACTGATGCTGAACAGAGGAGGGGGTGTAAGTGAGTGGGAGGTTGGAACTTTGGAACTGAAGTTGATGATGCCATTCTGGAAGGTTGCATGAAATGTATCACATTTGGAGCAAAGTTAATAAACAAGGATGCCTGGTAAGTCCTTATTATTTCTTAGTCTTTTTTCATGAACACACATTCCATCTGTTAATTACAGTGGTGCACTGAAATCCAGGATTGTCTTAAGTGCCACAAGGTGTGGATTAAAGAAGGGTGGGAATGTGTATGCAATTGTCTTTTGGGGTCCAGAATGTCTCTGCGCATTAATGTTTATTCTTGTGCTTGGAAAGCTGTAAGCAGGGTAACAATATTTTCAGTTTCCATATGGCTGTAAAAGTAATTGTTTTTCATCAGATGTGGAAAGAGAGAAGCCACCTTCTTCTGAGCTGCAGAAAAACAAATCAGTAAGAGCCTGCATATACCACCTGATAGAAGTTAATTTGAACTTGAAATTATCCAATCCTTAGAATCAGTATTAGTATAATGGCAACTATAGAAAGCTGCAGAGAAAACATACCTCTGTATCTGAGCAGTTGCTTTGCATGCAGAACACTCCAAAATTAACCCCTCACATCTCCAGGTGAGAAGGTGGATCAGATACTAGGGGGTGGGAGTAACCTCTGACTTGGATAATTGGTGCCAGTCAGAGTAGAACATCCTTGGCTTGGTCAAAGAATAGTCTGACCAGGAATATGGCAGCTTCCTGGGATTCTTTCTTTTGGAAGCAGTGACGCCTCTCAGTACCAGTTTCTGGGGAAGCTGAGAGGAAGGATGCTGTTATGCATGTGTCCATCTGGTAGGCTTCCCATAGGCATTTGTTTGGCCAGAGTGAGGGCAGGAGTGGACTAGGCAGGCTTTTCCTTACCTTCTTATTTGTCCATCTAGCTCATTTTCTACTCTGTGGAGTTTTTTAGTTTGACTGGCATCATTCCTGAAGGATCTCTGGCCAGGGTCTTCCCCATCATCTGCTACCTGCTCCTTTTAACAGGCAGTGCTGCCAAGGACTGGGCATGGGACCTTCTGTGTGAAAAGTGGGTGCTCTACCTTTTACCTATTGTCCATGCCAAAAACAATGCCTCTTGCTCTAACTTGAAACTTACCTATTTTGGCAATTGCAACATACAATGGCAGAGAACTGCAATTGTTGCTTAGATACTGCAGCTATGGCTCCGAGCAAGTCCTTGCCTGAGTTCAAAGGTTTATGAGCATCCTGTGAAAAGCAGGAGGAGCAGCAGTGGTGATCTCTGCCTCCCTGAACCTCTCACTCTGCATTTTCACTTGATGGCCATTTCCAGCTGTGTGACTGGAGCACGTTGGAGTGGGAGGGAAAGAGGCTGCAGTGGACACAGGGTGTGCTGTACCTTGGCCTTTGTATTCCCCCCTCCTGGAAAGCCCCCTTTACCTTGAGGTTGGGACAAGTTTCTGGAGTAGCATCTGGAGCAGTTGTTTCCACACCAGCTGCAAGGGGTGGGAAGAGCAAGAATAGAGAACAGATTTGCAGCTTCAAGATCAGAGCTGTGCTTCCAACCCTCAGTCTTGGAATCTGTAGCATCCTGTGCCCCCAAGATGATGTCTAGAGGCCATAGAACTGTGCTGTTAATAGCATTGGTCTTAACTGACTCTCATGACTTCAGTTCCTATTGGTGTGGGATACTGATTAATTACTGATGTAACCGATGTGACAGTGAGTTGGGGAACAGACTGCAAGTATTACTACCCTTCCTACTATAGAATCCCAATGATACAGAAACTGTGTCTCAGAGACAGAGTTCTATATCTCTCAAATGCACTCATCAGGTTCTGAAATATTGATCAGAGATAAAGGAGGGTGGGACTTTTTTTATTTTTTGTTTCAGCAGTTGCAGCTTATCATGCAGGGGTAAGAAATGTTGCACTTCCCAAAGTTTCCTTATCTCATCCAAACTTTTAGTACAGGAGAATGTTGTCCTCTGCAGCTTTTCATCGTAGGTTTGAGGGCTGTAATGCACATTCCCATAAGCAGAGAAAGTGCTTGTTTTTTCCTCTGTTTGGAGGAACAGCAAAACAGATTTTATTCTGTTTGGTGGATTGCAAACCAGGAAGCTGAATGTCCAAGAAAAACAATTAGAAGCTAGTAAGGAATAATTAACAGCTTCAGTGAGCACCATTAAAAGCATGAATTAATGAAGTGGCCCCTTGAGTCTTTTAGCCCTGCTTGAATGTCTGTGGCCTAGAGGAGGCCGAAAATGTACTGCTTTTCTAAAGTGTCTAGAACTGGGCCAGATCCTGAAGTATTGTCATCCAGTTTTAAATCCCATTTATTACTATTACCTTATTATTATTTGTTTCTGTTCTGCCCATGTTGAAGTTCTCTGGATGGTTTACAAGAAAGGATGGGATGCAGTAGATGATTGCTGGCTGGTGGCACAGATGACAGTTGTGGCAGCTACTGGCACAGTTTCCAGAGTAATTGTGGAACTAGGAATCAGGAAGAAATTTGCTCAGTTTGTTCAGTTTATATTTTAAATGTGACTTTTCTTAATATGCATCTCTTGAACCAGTATGGAAACCAAAATGTAGTTAAAGTTTGCTCATTACTTTTTTGCAATGCAGTTTTCCATTTCAGGAATGTAGTAAGAAATGCTTATATTAAGAGAAGGTGCACACAAATCATGGAAAATTATGTACAAAAATTCATTATATTAGAGGAAACTGCTTGTAGAAATAAAGGTAAAGGTAAAGGTTTCCCTATGACAGGGGTCAGCAACCCGCGGCTCTGGAGCCACATGTGGCTCTTTCATCCCTCTGCTGTGGCTCCCTGTCGCTCAAAATATGCGTCAAAATAACTGCCAATGTGTGACACCCGCCAGCACGTGATTTATTGAGCTTTTTGACCCCCAATAGGCCAACCATGGATAAATCCAAGAAAAGAAAAGTTTCAGACGAAAACAGAACATTTAATGGTACGTGGGCAGATTCATTTGCTTTCACTGCTGATGGGACTGGTTTACCAGTATGCTTAATGTGTGGTGAGAAATTGGCAAACAACAAAAAGTTGAATGTTGCAAGACATTTCTAGAATAAACACACAGCCTTTGCTGAAAAATATCTGGATGGAGATGAGCAAAAAAAAGCCATTTTGGAACTGATGCAGAAGGTTGATCTGAGCAAAAATCATAATTTAAGTTTGGCTTTTTATTGCATAAATACGAGGACTCAAATAGACAATGAGTATTTTATTTGAAAGCGTCTTTTTTGGAGTTCAAAATGTTTTTGTTGCATGCAGAAATAAAAAATTGTTTTCTCTGTAGCAGTTCATTGATTTCATAAATGCAATACACTATAGTTTTTTATACATAGCATAAAGGTAAAAAAATGATATATGCAGTGTTATCTTCATTTTAGATGTCAAAAGGGTTTTGTGGCTCCTGGTGTTTACTTTTCTGTGGGAAACAGGTCCAAATGGCTCTGAGTGTTTAAGGTTGCTGACCCCTGCTCTAAGACATTAAAGTCCAGTAATGCCTAGGGGGGTGGTGCTCATCTCATCTCTGTTTCATAGCCAAGGGGGCAAGTGTTTGTCTGCAGACAGTTTCCGTGGTCACGTGGCCAGCATGACTAAACACTGAAGTACACAGAATGCTGTTACCTGCCCACCAAAGTGGTACCTTTTTATCTACTTGCATTTGCATGATTTCCAACTGCAAGGTTGGCAGGAGCTGGGACAGAGTACGGGAGCTCACCTCGTCTGTGGATTTGAACTGTCGACCTTTCAACCAACCAGCCTAGTGGCTTAGCGGTTTAACCCACTGTGCTACCGCATCCCTAGAAATAAGTGCATTAAGTAAAATTATATGCAACTATGTGCACAGATATTTATGTGCACTTAATCTTCTCACCACAATGTATGTGAAAATGAGATTATCAAATTTAAGAATGAAAAATGAGAAACTGAAATTGACAGGTTCACCCATCTCTATGAACATGGCGGTCTTTAGTTCTTAACTTTTTATCCACCTGTTAACTAATGTTCTCTGAGCTGATTAGAGTTTAAAACACTAAATACTATCTAAACTGTTATAATATAAAAATGTAATACAAGGATTTAAAATAACACAATATAATACAACAGCACAGAAATCAGCAAAACAGCCACAAAAATCCCCTTGGTGTATTATGTATTTCAGGAGCAAGGCATCTCTGCTGGTTCTTCTGGATATTTCAGCTTTTGATGTTAGGTATCATTAGATATGTTTAAGGGATATTTGGTTTGTATAGAACTTAGGAGAACCATTTTACATTTCTGTGGGAGTCCTGAATTGTTATCAGCGATGGACTGGATGTAGCCTAATAAGTTGAGGCTTGATCTAGGAAAGAAGGAAGGTCAGTGGTCAAATTAAGATGAGCCTGTTTTTAAAAAGGGCTGCTCTCCCTGTGGAGGGTGAGGTTTGCAGCATGGGTGTACATCTGGACCTGCAATTGTTCCTGGAGGACTAGACAGCTGCTGCAATAATCAATCAATAATTATTAAGGTTTGGTGTGAAAAGCTTCAAGATCTGACACAAACTGTCCTTTCTAGGAGTCCGGCACTGGTACAAGCAGCTACAGTTCATTGGTGTACCTTTCGTGGATACGCTAGAGGAAAAGCTGCTGTGTACCCTTATTCATAATTATGACCTCAGTGAGGGCTAGGCAATGTTGTGCCTTCCATATGTTTGGACTATAGGTCCCATAATTTCTGACTACTGGCCATGAAGGCTGGGAGTCGGTGGGAGTTGTAGCCCAGTACATCTGGAGGGTACCAGGTGGTCCTCCCATTTCTACTCTATGCATGTGTCTCATCCATGAATGTATGA